GCCGAGCAGGGAGCCCGATGCGGGACTCGATCCAGGGACTCCAGGATCATGACCTGAGCCGAAAGCAGTCGCTTAACCAACTGAGCCACCCAGGCGCCCTCCAAGTTGTTATCTTTAACAGAATGACTAATAATTGCTCACTGATCCTGCTAAGCAATTGTTCCTTCACACACTGGACATGTACATTTAAAATTAAATGGCAGACAACATGTATGTCTATGTCATCTGTCCGGAGAATTCTTGGGAAGGAGGATTCAAAGGTGGTTAAAATAGCTTCCCCACCAAACTTACTAATCAGGTATTATTAATAAATAGATTAACTTCCTCTAAAAATATTATTCCCAGGTTAAGCATAATCACATTTAATTAAAACAGATAGCTGGACAATTATCAAAATCAAATATAAACAAAGCATCATTTCAAATGTCCTTAGTGAATAAAATAAAATTCATACAAAGCAACACTAACTGTATTTATAATTAAAATGTATTACTTACAATTGAAGTATACTAATTACTATACTAATGCATATTGGTTTTACTCCTCCCAAAGTTCATTCTGTGGAGTTTTCAAAATTTGTGACTAAGAAAAAGATAAATTAATAATACCAACACTAAGACTTACAATCAACTTACAACATAAAAGGATTTCCACTGATTACAAGACTATGGAATCACAGTGAGAGGCTGACAAAGGCAAATACTTTAAAAACGTACAGCATATGCTGCTCTATCTTAAGTACGTACTGATATACGGAGCCATGCCAGGGTCCAGCGTTGTAATCATGCTTTCTACTGAATGTTTTGTTTTATCGAGCATAGATTTCACCATAGGATTTCCGGCCACACCCTGCACAAGACAAATTGACATATAAACGCCCATTCTAAGTAAAGAACACCTAATGGTGAGAGAAAACTTTTTTAAAGTTTCTGATACATCGCAGACCTGTAATTTGTTAAAATGTAAGAAAAACAAGGTTATGGCCATGTCAAATTGCTCTTAAGTTTTCAAAATGCTCACTCTCACCTTCTCTCCTTCTCATAGACCCATGCAGTCTGCAGATCACACTGTGAGGAGCACTGACCTGGGAAGGAGGTATACACACACATATGTGTGTTCATTTTATGGATGTATATATTCATACGTATTCATTTTATACATGTATACATACACACGCATTTTATTTCTCTGTGTGTATTTTAATTTCATTTCATATCTACTTATTTCTATGAAAGACCAGGTAAAACTTATCCATCAAGGTCCCAAATAAAAACTGTAATTAGTCGTCTCCATAGACTCACACTTGGTTCCTTAAGAAAAAAATAAAAATATTAACATTTCTCATCCTTATTCCCCAGAAGTTACCTATTAATATATATTACTCTGCTATCTTCTACTAATGTTTCTTCTTTTTTCCTACTTCATATTTGTTGTGTTAATTCCCAAATTCTCTTTTAGCCCAGATCTATTCCTCTGAATTCTTAAAACCACACTATTAAACAGAAGGAACCAGGTTTGAGTCTTCCCTTAACGTGCTACACTTCTCCGGTGGTAAAAAGGACTTCAAGGGAGCCGTGCCCCCTGAGATGGCCTCTGGCTAACAGGCCACCATTCCACCTCTTCCAACCTACCACTGAACCAAGGTGAGTCAGAAAAAAGCGGAGTCCGTAACACGGGTATTTAAAACTGTCAACCAATCTTACGCGGGATATTAAAAGAACGATTTACAAGACATGTCGAGCTGGGCTAACGGACACACTGACACATGCTCTTAACCGGAGAAATAAGGAATAATACCTGTATGAAGAAAACTTTAAAAAGTACAGAAGGATTAATAAAAAAGAAGCTTAGGAAAATACCATCTTTATGAAACATAAAGCTCAAGTGCAGTAAATTAGTTATAATTTAGCCACCTACCGATTTAAAAATATTTAATATATAATTAAGTTGCAGCCAAACCCTCAGAATATTGGGAGGAATGTGACAGAGTAATCCCAAAATTCATTAAGAGAAATAAACAGAAAAGACTAGTAAAGAAAAATTCTGAAGTAAAGAGAAACTGGCAAACTTATAAAACTAAATACTGATCCATCGTTATGAACGCAGAGACTTGGAACTGACCTTTCTTTCTTTACTCATCAATGCATATTCCCCATCCCACCCGAGCAGAGTAGACTTTCAATAAGTATTAGTATAATAATAAACAGAGTTAACAATAACTAAAATAGTAGGGTACTATTGCAGGGACGGGCCAAACAGCAGAATAGAACACAGAGTCCAGAAACTGACGGTAATAAACAACTACATAACTAAGATAAAGATGACATATCAAAACACTGGGATATGATGTTGGAACAGTTGAGTAAGTGGTTGGAAGAAAATTAAGTTTGACTTCTACTTTACGTAATAAAGTTAAGTGTCAGAAACATTAAATTGGTAGGTATTAAAAAAAAACGAAACCATAGAAGAATTAGAAGAAATCACAGAACATTTACCACATACTGTGATGGGAAAAGGTCATTCTTAACATAAAAAAATGAAAAGAAAAAAAGACTACTGAAAATTTAGAAGCTTTTGTGTCACAAAAGGGTAATAAAATTTAAATGTATGATAAAAGAGAAAACATCAATAAATGACAGCGTGTAATAAAATATTACTACATGAGGAGCTCTTACAAATTCATTTAGAAAGGAAAATCATCCCAATTCAAAAATGGGCAAAGAACACGACTAGAGACTTCACAAAGAAAAAATACAAACAAAAAAATATGAAAAAATGAGAAAAGCAAATCAAAACGAGGTTATTTTTTTTGTCTATCAAATTAGAAAACGTTCTATTTCAAATTCATAATGAGTGCTGGCAAGTGAAAAATGCTGGGACAGTCTATTTTGGTATAACCCTCCTGGAGAGTCATTTTTATCAGTAATTTTTAAAATGTTCACTCTGACATTCATCAGGAATTAACCTCAATAAAACAGAGATGGGCATAAAGATCTGCATGCAAGAGTGCTCATCATAGTTGTATTTGTAAGAATTACTATTAGAGAACGCTAAAGTACATTAGTAAAATATGGGAAATAAATGCCCCATGGCATGGAGGGCAAAAACAGCCATAAAGAAAAAAAAATTTTCTGAAGAATATTTATGACTGGGAAGATGTTCCGGATATATGCTAGATAAAGACAAACAAAAGATACAAAATAGTGTCCACATGTTACTACCCATTTTGACTTACTAAAAAAATTACACCTACACAGATATGCACATAAAAAAGACTGAGAAGAACTATAGAAAACTAGTAATAAGAATAAAAAGAATTATTTTTTCATTATACCATTCTATATTTTCAAAATCATTCTAATGAACATCTAATAGTTTCAAAATTAAAAAGTTCAGTATAACTTTCAAACTAAATACCCCTTACCTTAATAAAACCCCAGAGTCCACCAGCAGATGCCTCATCCTGACCTCTACCAACTCGAGGATCTTCTTGCTCCTCTGGAAAAGTAATGGCTGATGTGGTCCCCGGTCCCTGGGCCAGAGATGTCAAACTGGCTTGCTGGGTAATGGGAGTCGGCAACATACCTAGTAAATGGCAAAAATTTCTAATATATGTTATTTATTTCATGAACTATTTTCTACAAAAAGAAGATACACTATAGGAGATAAGTAGTTCAAAATAGCTTTAATAATGTAAATATATACTCAGGCATTTCAAGACTGAATTATGCACTCCAAGAATCACCTAAACCTTCACAAAATACAAATGAAACAAAATTCTGAAGAAATTTCCTGACCTTGTTGTAGGCTTTTTAACTAAACATTCTGAAAATGGGCAAAATATTTATCAAAAAGTACTTCCTGTTGGTCCCATTTAGCACCTGGATGTGGGCAACTATAATTCTAATCCCTTCAATGCATAAAAATAATTGATGTAAGCACCCAAGCCCTTCATATAAAAGCATGTAACAATTACTACTTATTTCATATGCCCTACTTTAACTCAAAAAATAAAATTCACATATTCAAAGACATAGACATAATGCCTGTACTATGCAAAAAATTTTATTTGTAGAAGTAGATTAGCAAAGTTGGATAATAAAAATCAGAACAAAGCTGCTTCTTTTCCTAAAATGAGAAGTAACAGGCAAAAGAAGACAAGGACGAAGTTTTGATACTAGTTTCCAACAACCATTCCAGGGAAGCCAAGAAGGTAGGTGTAACCGACTTAGAAAAGATGGCCCATTACCATAAACTTAAGGCACACATGAGCTTTTATTTGGTTTTAAATTTCTACCTGGCTAAATAAAACTACTCCCTGGACCATTCTTGTCCAGATAACCTTTTAAGAAAAGCTTTAAAGAAGACTCTCAAATATCACCCTGGTGTCTCTCTATAAGTATACAAAATATTAGAACAAGTATTTCGAATTTTATCTGACACTACATACACTATACATACTCTGCATTTTACAACACACAAAATTTATCATTTACTAGTAACATCAGCTTTATTTTGATAATATACATGTCAAAACGCGAGAACAGAAAACTCCAGAGATCAAAGATAGGAGTTAAAAGTAATGTAGCAAAAAAGAAAAAAAGTTAAAAAAAAAAAAAAAAAAAGGAATGCAGATATACTGAAACACTCAAACAGTACTGATGAGAAAGTGAAATGGTGCAACTGCTTTGGAAAACAGTCTAGCAGTTTCTTAAAAGCAAACAATTCCATGCGTAGTTATATACCCAAGAGACATGAAAATATGTCCTCACAAAAACCAGTACACAAATGTTCATAAAAGCAGTATAATACCAAAAAGTAGAAACAACACAAAAGTTCATCAATGGATGAAATGAATCAACAAAATGTGGAAGGAAAATCCATACTATGGAATACTGAGCCATAAAAAAGAACAGAGTACAGACACATGCTACAATGTGGATGAACTTAAAAATATACTAAGGGGAACCTGGGTGGCTCAGTCGGTTAAGCGTCTGCCTTCGGCTCAGGTCATGATCCCAGGGTCCTGGGATCGAGCCCCGCATCAGGCTCCCTGCTCAGTGGGGAGTCTGCTTCTCCCTCTCCTCCCTCTGCCCCTCCCCACACTCGTGTGCTCGCTCACTTGCTCTCTCAAATAAATAAAATCTTCAAAAAAAAAAAATACTAAGTGAAAGAAGTTTTCACAAAAGACTATATATGGTACAATTCCATTTATATGAAAGATCCAAAATAGGTATATTCGGAGACATAAAACAGATGAATGACTGGGGCTGTGACCATCGGGAGCAAGTAGGGAGTGACTGCTAACAGGTAGAGGGCTTCTTTTTGGGGATGATTAGAAGGTTCTATAACTGATGAGAGTGATGATGGCACAACTCTGTAAATACTGTGACAACTACTGAATTGTATACTTTAAAGGGGTGAATTGTATGATACGTAAATTATTTACCAATAAAGCAGTGATTAAAAAACGTATTTAAACATTAGCTGTAGTCATTTATTTCAAAGTATCAGTAAGAGAGAATTACCTGTTACCGGAGGTGCAGAGAATGACGGCATCAGGGGCGTCTGGGGAGCTCTTCCCGCATGTCCCCTTGTAATGTCGTAAGTTGCCCCAACGGAAAATCCCGACGTGGGAGGAACAGAAGAGGGTGCAGATAAAAGAGTGCTTGGGGCAGAAGATGAAGCCGGGAAGTGGGGCAGAGGAGGGTTACTGAAGGCAGCAGCAGGCGGTGGAGAGACAGGAGGTGGGATGGAAGTAGCAAGGGCTGGAACAGAAGGGACCGGTGAAGGCGGCACGAAGGGCAAGGGTGCGGAAGGCCTCACGGGAGGGAGGGACGGCTGAGGGGTGGAGTACGCGTGTGGCGGCAAGGACTGTATGGACGACACATTTGGAGAAGAGAAAGAACTGGTTGCAGCTAGAAGATGGGGAGGGAAAAAACCCACAAAATTGGAAATGCTTTTCACTTAGTTTTCAAAGTATCTCATTACTTTTTTATTGCAAAATTTAAAAATTTAACAGACCATAACCCAATAACTTTTTTTCACTGTTATTTAAAATATACAACACATACGACTAAGTGCAAATGACTTTCGACTCCCCTAAGTAAAAGTAGCAGTTATATACCATTGTTATAGTCCTGTTTGTAAGCAGATCTTTTTGTTTTCATTCATTTTGCTCTTTTTAAAGAAAATAGAGCCGTTTTTCACCCCTGCTGCTTTCAGCATAAAAACCTACACAGTGACTCAAAAATTTTGGTCAGAAGGTTAATCATCACAAACTCATCGAACACAAGACAAAACTAACACATGCTTTTTAGGATAGTTTTGTCCTAAGAAGATGATTTATAGTCAGTATGACTATAGAGAACAAAAGTTTACCCAAAGCAAAATATACTTTTAGGCTTAAATAAAAAAGGTCACTTCCCTTCATCCTGGCAAAAGATCAGAGATGTTTTCATCTATGTATTTTTCTTTTAATTGACTCTGAGAAAAGTTAACGGTGTCGTTCCTACCCTCCAGACACACGAGGTGCCATCACGGCCACATACCTAAAGGCAGCGGGGTGGAAGCCACAGCAGCTGCGGCCAGTCCCGCGGGGTGCGGTGGAGGGGTCCCCGGGGGGGTTGTCTCTATTCCGCTCTCTTCCATCATTTTTCTTCAGTTACGGTTTACTGTAAAAAGAGAGAAATGTAACATACATTGCACAGTAATCAAGTGTATTTTTAAAGAATAACTTTACAAAGAAATCATCAAGACACAGAGGTCTATACGATTTATAACGCCACTTATTTCTGGATAAAGGATCTGTCAAAATTCCTAGGAAAACACTGTCTGTGACAATGTTTAATATGCACGTAACATTTTCATACACATACTTTATAATTGGGAAATAATTTTATGTTAACTATTTGTAAATTTCAAACAGTAACTCACTAATATAGTTTTCTGCCACATGAATATACGTTAGACTTTTATCTACATTCCAGTTACTATTACATTTAAAATAAAAATATATTAAGTTTTTTTTTCTTTCCCTGTTAAACATTATATATGGGCTATTTCTGTTAACATGAAAAAAAAAACTGAAATGTGCTCAATTCCCAGTGTCCCTGGTTCACATTTAAAATCATACTTAGTGGGGCGCCTGGGTGGCTCAGATGGTTAAGCCTCTGCCTTCGGCTCAGGACATGATCCCAGGGTCCTGGGATCGAGCCCTGCATCGGGCTCCCTGCTCCACGGGGTGTCTGCTTCTCCCCCTCCTTCCTGCTCGAGCTCTCTCTCACTATCTCTGTCTCTCTCAAATAAATAAATAAAATATTAAAAATAAATAAATAAAATAAAATCATACTTAGTAATGGCTAAATGATATGTCTCATTTTTTAGAAATGTTAACTTCAGCAAAAATGTTACACGGTAACTAAACAGCAGTCCTAAGATAAAAATGGATTATAAAATAGGGGAAAACTTCCTTAAAAATTACGAACTTCCAAGTGTGTCTCGAGTATAAAATCAAAACCTCTAAATAAAACTTCTGTTTTTGATTTTGATGTGTTCAGTCATTTAACAAATACTCAGTGAAAGTCACTTGCTTGATAAGCACTGTACTGATGCCTCTGGACATACAATGTAAGCGAAAACTAACAAAACTTACAGTCCAGTACAGGAGAGGATCAAATAATACCACTAACGTACAATGAACTGTAGCCTTAATTATGTGCTCTGAGGGTAAGAACACCATCCTATTTGAGAAGAATACGATTTTCAGTTGAGTGAGGAAAAGAAGTCACATATAAACAGAGATCTGAAAGATGTATAGAATTTAATTAGGCAAGGAAAAAGAAGTAAACAGGGAAGAGTCCAGAAAAAGTGAATATACGCTATGTATACCAGCCCTGTAAGGCAGAGGGGACAAGACACATTCAAGAAAACCCATGTGGCAAGGAACAGGAAAAAAAGAATGAAGACCGGAGACATAGGCAAGAACCTAGACCGTGTTGAACCTTATAAACCACGTCGAGGAGTTGGGTTTTTTAAGAAGAGAAAGGCACCACACAGCATTCAAGCTGGGGATGACATACTTGTCTTTTAACTTTTTTGAAGAAATTTTAGATTTGTAAAAAGATGCAAAAATAGACCAGAGTTCCTGAGCATCCTGCACCCAGCTTCTCCCACCGACAGCATCTTACCTAACTGCAGCAGAGTGATCACACCCAGGAAATTAACACTGATGCAATACTAGTAACTAACGATTTTATTTGGATTTTCACCTGTTTCTACTTGTGTATGTTTCTGTGTGTGTGTAGTTCTATAAAGTTTCATCATACACAAAGACTCATATGACCAACACCACAATCAGGATTCAGAACGGTCCCATCACCCTAAAGAAACTCCTTCATGGTGCTCCTTTGTCACAGCCTCCCACTAACCACAAGCTGTGACAACGGACTATTCTCTTATCATTTTCTCATTTAATGAATGTTACCTAAATAGAATCATACAGCATATAACATTTTGAGATCGGCCTGTTTTTAGTCAATATAATGCTGAGACCTATCCACGTTGTTGGATGTATCACTACATTTTTTTTCAATTGCTGAACAGTATTCCATTTTACTGATGTGCCACAGTTTTTTTGTTTGTTTTTTTTTTTTTTTT